TTATAGTAACTACTCCTAACATATTTGTGAAAAACAAAGCTATTCCTAATCAAACTAGAACTAGAAAAACTTCAATAACAATATAATTCTCTTTAGAACTAGTATTCTTCATTAGCTATTCCTCTTATGACTGGTATTCCTTTATAGAACTGGAATTCTTTTTGCATAACTTTGACAAAACACTTTGAGTCAACAACAACTTTAACCCAGAATTATTGTACGAATGGGAAAGTAGAAATCAATATATTTTATTGGAAAGAGAAATTTTTAGGAATTGGGCGAGAAGTTAAAATTCCAGGATTTTGTTATTATATATAGTATTGATGTACAAAGGGAATTGTATTACACTATTTTAAAATTTTAGAATAGAATTTTTACTGAGAATTATTGTACGAATGGGAAAGTAGAAATCAATATATTTTATTGGGAAGAGAGATTTTTTAGGAATTGGGCGGGAAGTTAAAATTCCAGGATTTTGTTATTATATATAGTATAGATAGATAGATAGTATAGATGTACAAAGAGAATTGTATTACACTATTTTAAAATTGTAGAATAGAATTTTTACCCAGAATTATTGTACAAATGGGAAAGTAGAAATCAATATATTTTATTGGGAAGAGAATTTTTTTTGGAATTGGGTGGGAAGTTAAAATTCCAGGATTTTGTTATTATATATATTTAATATAGTATAGATGTACAAAGGGAATTGTATTACACTATTTTAAAATTTTAGAATAGAATTTTTACCCAGAATTATTGTACGAATGGGAAAGTAGAAATCAATATATTTTATTGGGAAGAGAGATTTTTTAGGACTTGGGCGGAAGTTAAAATTCCAGGATTTTATTATTATATATATAGTATAGATTATTGTACGAATGAGAAATTAGAAATCAATATATTTTATCGGGAAGAGAGATTTTTTAGGAATTGGGCGGGAAGTTAAAATTTCAGGATATATATATATATATATATATATATATATATATATATATATATATATATATATATAGAGAGAGAGAGAGAGAGAGAGAGAGAGAGAGAGAGTATAGATTGCAATACGAATTGTATTACACTATTTTATAATTTTAGAATAGAATTTTTACCCAGAATTATTGTACGAATGGGAAATTATAAATCAATATATTTTATCGGGAAGAGAGATTTTTTAGTAATTGGGCGGGAAGTTAAAATTTCAGGATTTTGTTTTTATATATAGTATAGATTGCAATACGAATTGTATTACACTATTTTATAATTTTAGAATAGAATTTTTACCCAGAATTATTGTACGAATGGGAAATTAGAAATCAATATATTTTATCGGGAAGAGAGATTTTTTAGGAATTGGGCGGGAAGTTAAAATTTCATGATTTTGTTTTTATATATAGTATAGATATAGATGTACTAGTTACTGCACACGCATTGGACGAATAATCCAATATTCAATGTGTATTTTTAAATTAGTATTTTAAAATTTATCAAAGTATCATTCGGTATCATGACGTATATCAATGCAAGATAATCAAATTTTTCATAAACATAAATATTTCTAGAATGTATAACTATGACGACCTGTAGCAGAAATGTTGGATTAACTAGTGCAATAATAGTTTTAGAGGGAAGCACATTCACTGGCCGGATAGTACACAAGCATAGTTTTTGCAACAGACCCCTATTAATCGGCGTACGTGATTCATGCTTCCTCTTGTTGCCACTTCCGCCATAAATAAATTCTAGATTTGATCTAGTCCGATCCCCTGATGTGCTTCATTGCTATTTTAGTTCCTTGACACAATGCATCTTCAAAAACATAATCAAATCCTCCTCTCCCACAAAAGACAATGATAATAAGCATAGAGTTAATTCCAGCAATAGTCCTCCGACTATTGTGATTTTCTAAATTCAGTCATTATCTTTTAATTTGGACGAAATAAACCCTTGACTATCAGAATTGTTCCACCATCGGTCCTTCCGTTAACTAAGAGTTAAATAGATGTTAGTGAAGGGCTAAAAGGGTCATTTCCTTCGCTGGGTTTCTTCTTCCTAATCTTGGTCGAGTATATTGAACACGTCGGTGGGAGAGGTAATTTTCACAGTGCGGTTGGCGTGGATGTATACGTTGTACAAATGGGGATCCAGTGTTAGTAAGAAACCAAATTCTCTAGGCCGATGAGCTCAAAATTAAAACCTGGAGACGTAACACTTAGACATGAACGATCTCACCAAGGGTACCACCATTGAACACTTATTCCTCCTACTATTTTCCATTCTCATTCAGACACAACAAGGGTCTCCCTCCCTTAAGCATTTTGCTGCAAACAGATCAGATCAGACCTGCAACCTCCTTTTCTGTTTTCCTATTTCTGTTTCAGAGCTTTTACTCCAACAATCAAGCCACATGAAACCTCAATTCCCATAGAAGGATCAGTTCCATGGCGGCCACAGCCCTCCACCCAAAGCTTTAGGATATGGCCGCAGAATAGGCTATCTCTTCTCTGTCCAAATTCAGACCATTCATTATTGCAGCAGAGGTCCACCACTCTTGGTGGACCCTCCTTATTCCTCCCTCACAGACCACCCCTATACCAGTGGTGGTACTCCTTATTCCTCCATAGAACCAGCACCTGCAAGCCAAATAAAAATTGCAAAAGTGTGGAACAGCCAGAGTTACCTTCATTTGCTGCAACTGCCATCATCTCAGATACTCCATGCCACTGCATTGCAGACCACATCAACAACTTTATATCAAGAGACAAGAGGCCTCATTCCTCATGGTGAGGTCAACCTCTTGGCAGTAAAATCCTCCACCAAAGGTCTTAGATTCTACTGCAGCTCTTTCAGACTTTCAGACCAGATTCAGCTTTCAAACCACCCCTCTTCAGACCTTATTCTGCCCAGAGCTCTTCCTCCTTGCTCACCGGAACTATCCCGGAATCTTTCTGGAAATTCCCCACAACGCCGGATCTTTATCTCTCCCACAACCAAACTTGATTTTGTCAGGATAGACTTGTCCCGGAACAAGCTGGAAGGCGAGGCGTCCTTGTTCGGGAAAAACAAGACTGCCCAGATTATCAACATGTCGAGAAACGCGTTCCAGTTCGAATTCTCCAAGGTGATGGGGTTTTCCAACAATTTAATCTGGTTGGATCTGAACCATAACAAGATTGCCGGAGCGCTGCCGGCGGCGCTGATCAAAGATAGAAAACTTGCAGCAGTTCAACGTGAATTATAACAGACTTTACAGGTGACGAATTCTCTTCCTACGGTTGCAGCAGCGAACCTGTCTTCCAAGTCAACACCTATGGCTCCGACACCCATGACAGAAGCAAAGTTGTCGTTATGGATGCCGTTGGAAAATGCCTCCTCAGTCCTCACCATCTCCAAAAAGGTTAATATCAATTAGCTTTCTTCAATAATATTATGGTCAACGAGTCATTGTTTTATATGTTTTTTATTTGGTAAAAAAAGGTCACCGGAATTAATTCATCGTATTGTTCAGAAGTGGTGTTGCATAGTTGAGTTTGCATTACAGATGGGTGTACTAGTATTGAAAATTCTGAATGTTGATGAATGGGTATGAAATTGTTGAATCATTTGGTATTGGCATAACAGATGGGAAGAATATTTTTGGGAGAGATTGAAGGGGCAGAAACTCATCTTCAGCACGATAGAGTTATACCACACTCAAAGCGAAAAGGAACCAGATCGAAGGGTGTTTTGCGCAACTGAATAGGGAAATGAAGATGATGAAGACGCACAGGCTAGGAAAAGACAAAGATACCCCTTAATTTGACGTTAAATTAACGTTGAGATAACAGAAGGACCTTTGGTGGAAAAGTTTTAATTGTCAAGGGTTTAATTCGTCCAAATTAAAAGACAAAGACTAAATATGGAAAATCATGATAGTCGGAGGACCTTTTCTGAAATTAACTCATAAGCATAGTTTGTTAACTATGTTGAATATATATTGTAAAGAGTTAATACCCAAAATAGTCCCTCGACTATGTCGTAATTACCAATTTAGTCCTCGACTATCATTCTTACTCAATTAAGTCCTCAACTATACAATTTTTACCCAATTTAGTCCTTTGTCAATTTGACTGTTTGTTGACTGTCAAAAGTGGAAATAAAGTTGTAATTTTACAAGTTTTCTCCTTCCTCCTCATTTAGCAGCGCCAAACCATGTAGCAATAAGCTCCGGTTGGGTTCTAAACCTGTCAGTATCGAAGTAGTGGTTATGCATCGGATAGCCCATGAATTTGATTTCCAACGATTTTTTGACGATCGAAATCTGATCGGAGTGTATTGCTGCATGGTTTGGCGCTGCTAAATGGAGAGGAAGGAGAAATCTTATAAAATTATAATTTTATCCCGACTTTTGACAGTCAACAAACAGTCAAATTAATACAGAGGACTAAATTGGGTAAGAATTGTATAGTTGAGGACTTAATTGAGTAAAAGTTACATAGTTGAGGACTTAATTGGGTAAGAATGGTAGTTGAGGACCAAATTGGTAATTATGGCATAGTTGAGGGACCATTTTGAGTATTAACTCTATTGTAAATTAGGTATAACGCTTCATCAATTCCCAATGTGTGATTCTATTTCCAATGTGTGATTCTAATTAATTGACCAAAGTTCATGTTATTATTATTATTTTTTTGTATTTTTTAATACACTCTTACATATTCATTGTATATATTTAACAATTATGTCAAAATTTTATTGGGATGGAATTCAAACCTAAGACTTTTCTTATAAAAATCAATAAATAAATAAGTTAACAATAATAAATAGTTAATAAAATATTCTGTTATCTGTTACTAAAGTTTAACTAACGGAATATAATGCATGAATATCTAGGAAAAAAGTAAATGATATAATAGAGGGTAAAATAGGAAAAATAAAAAAAAATATTAAAATCAAAATAATATGAATTATTTATTTCAACAAACAGTTACACCAACATTATTTAGTTCTCATTATGACTTAATTTTATTGGCCATTTTTTATAAGACCTAACTTTATTAGCTCTTATTAAGTTTGTAGAGGTAGATACAGATTACCCGCATCGTCTTGGAACTGTCCATTTTCTTGGCCTGGATGTCCTCTCATTGCTGGCTAATCCCATATAATTCTTCCAATCATCAATAACCATTTTAAGGTTATGAATTTTGCTGTCAAGACCAACACAACAATTGGCATGCATTGTGCACACCAAATTAAGGTCTTGGCTGGGCTCGCAAAACCCTCCGAAGTAAGCCGTGTTCAGAAACCTTATTTTTAACCCAATCTGTTTAATGAAAGGATCGAATTTGATGATGTTTATCACGTCTTGTTCGTTCTTCCCCGGAAAAGCCTCTCTCGATTTGGACCAAAATTTGTAAAATTCGATGGAGCGGTTGTTTGATTTTACATAGTAGAAGCCGCCGTTTGCGTAGTTGTTTAAGTCAGAAGAGTCATACCGGTATTGGTCGCATCCAATTTGAAAGTCGGTGTCCGGGTACAACTGTGAGAATGGTTGACGAAGCCACATTATATCAGCGTCCTATTAAAAAATATAAAAATTTATGTAAGATCATCTCATATAAAACTGTTAGGATCAAAGATTTATTATTAGTTACATAAAAAACTATAATTATGAAGACACAATTTTATTATTTTTAAAAGGCACGGTACTAAATTTGACTCTTCACCAGCCTCTATCCAACAACCTCCTAGTCACCAATGCTAGACTTGACCGCTTACAGCTACCCCGACCCCAAACTAAGATGGTAAGAGATTCACGCTTGTAAACACAATGTCACGAGTTCAAATTTTTGCCCCAATGATTTGAGTTATGGATAACCTAGATTGGTTTACTTCATTAGTTCATTGTGATCATCGTTTACCAACTAGGATTACAAAGCCGGACACTTTATTTCTTTATACGGCTATCTATCACATTTCTGAGACTTTCAAGAGACAAGCATGGTGTTGGACTTGACCTTCCTTCATCGCCCTCAACCCAACAATTCCCTATCCACCCATTGCTAAACTTAACCATTCACCGATCCCCGTCCAACAATTAATAATTCAAAAATATGCTTTTATATATATATATATATATATATATATATATATATATATATACCGTAAAAATGAAGCTATATCCCATTTCAAGAACCAGCCGCAAAAAGTCCGTCCTCCTCCACATCATCTTCAAGTAGTGTTTGGTCATGAAATTGGCCTGGCCGGAGAAGTCAACTCCGTCGGTGGTCAAGGCGTAGCAATGAGGGTGTAATTCACGGCATCGAGCGTAAGCGGTTTTGTCCATGGCCACCACTACCACGTGTTTCAACAGGCCTTCTGTTTGGTTCCCAATCCTAAAACTCTCCAAAAACATATCAAATATGCTGCCAGAGGCTGTCCATGCTGCGTTTAAGGTTGTTATGATCACTGTTCTGTTTGCCATGGCTGCCTTCTCCAACACTTCCTCTAAATTGTTCTCAACCACCTTTTCCTACCAGTTAAGATTATACGAGTGAAATTAACTACTAATTAATAAGAATATATGGCTTATTAATTATTAACTCACTGCTTTTATATCTCTTTTTTTTTTTTTTTTTTTTTTTTGTTATTAAAATTAAATCTAGTGTACATAATCGAATTAGTCCGTGTTCACAGGCAAATTATGCTGCGGAACCGTGTCCACCTTGCAAGGTGGACACGATTTCAAAATTGTTTATAATTATGAATATATAGTTCAAAAATTATGAACATATAGTTTTGTAATTATGAATATAGAGATTCAATGATTCTGAATATGAAATTCAAAAATTATGAATATATAACTTTATAATTATGAACATATAATTTTGTAATTGTAAATATAGAGTTCAATAATTATGAATATGAAGTTCAAAAATTATGAATATATAGCTTTATAATTATGAACATATAGTTTAGTAATTATGACATAGAACAATGCCACCTTGCAAGGTGGATATGATTCCACCACATAACGGTTGAAATTGGCAAATTATGCTGTGCATCCGTATGCACCATGCATGGTGCATACGGATGCAAAAACGACGTCGTTTTGTATAAAACGCGCACCCTACTTAAAAAAAAAAAATCAGTTTCGATTCCGAGCAACAACATTATGTTATTCATTTTTAGTTCATTCATTTTGAATTTTTTAGTTATGAAATTCTGGAAGTGTAGTTATGCGATTCTGGAAGTGTAGTTATGCAATTATGGATGTGTAGTTATGAAGTTATGGATGTGTAGTTATGCAATTCTGGAAGTGTAGTTATGCAATTATGGATGTGTAGTTATGAAGTTATGGATGTGTAGTTATGCAATTCTGGAAGTGTAGTTATGCAATTCTGAAAGTGTATTTATGCAATTCTGGATGTATAGTTATGAAATTATGATAGTGTAGTGAAATTATGGATGTGTAGTTATGCAATTCTGATTTATTTTTTTTTTTAAAGTTAGACGCTTAAACAACGTCATTTTTGCATCCGTATGCACCATGCATGGTGCATACGGATGCACAGCATAACGCTCCATCTAAATTGGTTATATTTTTTAATATTTGGTGGTGCATACGGATGCACAGCATAACGCTCCATCTAAATTGGTTATATTTTTTAATATTTGACTTGAACGCTGTCCCATAAAATTAAAAAAAAAAAATGAAATTTGTTTTTTAATCTTTTATAATAAGTGGTAATTTAGGGATACCGTGGGTAATTGTGGAGATACAATAATAAGTTCTCTACATGTATATAGTAACATCTTGCATACATAAATTATTCTTAAGTGTCAAATGGTAAAAAAAAAAAATATAACAAAATGAAGAATTATAGATATCCTAACATTTGACTTGGGCAGGGCGCCCACCCTACGAAACCCTAATAATAAATTAGCAATAAACTATAGTAATTAAATCATAGCTTGCACTCCTGCTATGTTATATTGATTGCTTTAGACTTTTAGTTTCTATATTAAATGTCCATTCCCTGGTACAAAAAAAATTGGATAGTTCAAAATTTTTGAAAAGTCAAATTAAAGAAGAATGATTAGTGATAATACATTCTGTTTCCTGCATTCATGTATTTTGTATGTATATAATTCATATGGAAATTGTTTGAACAAAGGAGAGAAGATCCCAGAGTTAGGCTTGAAGAAGCTTTTTATTATTTCATAGTATAAAGAGAGGGCCGGGAGAGTTTCCTCATGTAGTCCTGTGTAAGTGTTGTAGAGATAGATTGGAGATATAGGGTTAAATATTGATTTTGACCCGAATCGTTTGACTCTGACCGACTACAAAACCAGGATATGGGACGTAAAGGGAGGTTAAATCTAAGGAATATTTCCTATCAATTAGGATTAGTATTATGGATTAACTAAGCGTACGTGTTCATAAGAGAAAATGGTCAAATAGACCCTTGAACTTTACTCAAAAGGGCAATTAGGCCTCTGAACTTAAAAAAAAGTGCAATTAAACACTTAAACTTATCATTTTGAGTCAAATAAGCTCAATTTATCAGTAACCAACAGGTTACCGATAAATTACTGCTGTTGACCGCCGGAATTCATGGTTGACCATGCTAAAAACCGGAAAAAAAAAAAAATTCGCCGGAGCAATTTCCGGTCGTCTTCTCCATTGGAGAAGACTGTCCGGTCATCTTCTCGAATAGAGAAGGCGACCAGATCTGGTCGCCTTCTCCATTGGAGAAGACGACCGGACTGGTCGTCCTCTCCATTAGAGAAGGCGACCAGCACCTCTGGTCGTCTTCTCCAATGGAGATGGCAACCAGAGGTGCTGGTCGCCTTCTCCGGTGGAAGGCTTTTAAAAAATAAAAATAAAAAAAAAAATTCGTCGCCGGAAATTTTATTTTTTCGCCGAAATTTTAAATGACCTGTTATTTCAGGTAAATAACCGGCTACTGGGCTTAGATGCTCCAAAATAACAAGTTCAAGTGTTAATTGCTCTTTTATAAAGTTCAGGGGCCTAATTGCCCTTTTGAATAAAGTTTAAGGGTCTATTTGACCCTTTTCTCTGTTCATAATACAATGAGAAATTGAGAATATATATATATATATATATATATATATATATATATATATATATATATATATATATAATGCAGAGTAATATTACAACTAAAATTATCATATTAGGATCAATATTCTAGATTCCATGCCAATAAATTCAAGGTTTAAAATTAAAGAAAACATTACATGCATGCAATTACAATACCATATTTAAATTGAATTCTAGCTATTACTTTTTTTTTTTTGAGGAAATTGAATTATCTTACTTGTTGTTCCAATTTTTACTCTTTCGGTCACTCCTAGTTCATGGGTATCAAATAATGATAACTTATCTTCTTCATGTAGGTTCTAAAAAAAAATGTATAAAATTAGAATAACTTACCATGGATGAAGAAGGAATGGTTTTGTTGGGAGTAGTAGTGTGCGCAGAAGGAGATGAAGTAACAGAAAAGTTTCCATCATTCAAGTTGGAGAGGTTGTTGGGGAAGAGTTGTCTAGTAGAGGTGGATAGATAAAGAAAGAGACACGACAACGTTACGATCATAAAAGGGACAAGGATTTTGACAACGTTACTTGGAATAATGTGGTGAAGGTTGTGGTGGAAGGGTTGATTGGCGCGGCCGCCGTTGCCGCCGGCGGCCACCTCCTCCACCAGCTTTTCTTCATCATTATTATTGTTACTATTTTTTCTTTCTCCTCCCAAATTTTCCATTATTGTTTGGTATGTTGAAGCCCCAATGTGGTACCACATCTTACCTCAACAACATCATGCTACACAGCACATATTTATACTCCTACGCCATACAACATACTCTTTTAAATTATATTTTGGAAATATTGTATTTTTTTCCCTCTAAATAATATACTTATAGTATTTTTTATCACCTTGAATTATTAATGTATCAATATTATTAGCTCCTTCAATTATTCTAAGTGTAGAATTCGGCAAATTGTACCATGGACCAGAGTCTACCTTGCATTGTAGACCCCAGTCCAAAAATAACTTTCAGATTCTGTATCTATAATTGACACATTCTGTAGTTGCCGTTGATAGTTTCTGTACATGTAGCTATCATATTATTTGCCAGTAAAATAACCTTCAGATTCTGTATCTATAGTTGACACATTCTGTACCTTCAGTTAATAGTTTATGTACATGTAGCTATCATATTATGTGTCAGCAATTATCAAGTTATTTGTTTACAACTTTACATGTACTGAAACTATTAACTATAGATACAGAATGTGTTAACTGAAGTTACATAACAATATCAACCCTAGTCTATGGTACCCTTTCTTAGATCATTCAATTTCTTGCCAACCCATATTATTGACACCTTGTTCGCAAAACCAAACCCAAGCCAGTACATGGGAATATATTCCTCGTTTTCCCCAATAAGCTAAGACTTTCAAGTAAAAAGTGCATGCTGATTTAATTAATCCATTTGGACAAATTAACATTTGATAGTTGTTGATAAATAAGAAAAAAAGATCCGGATAGAGTCAATTTTATAAATATAATAAATTTAAAAATTTACAATAATTATAAAATTAATTGCATATTTTTAGTAAAATTAGTCTGAATCATTGATGAATAACCAAAATCAGTTCTTATTTTTTACAAAAAGAAGTAGAATTATTGTGTCCGAATTTATAAAATCCAAATCTAGTACTAGCTAGTGCCTCTTACCTTTCTCAGACCATTCAATTCCTGGCCAACCCAAACGGCCAAACCCACCAGCCATATTGTTGACTTCTTGTTTACGAAACCAAATCCAAGCCAGTGCACGACAATAGTACAGTTGTGTGAATCAAGTATAAAAACGACGTCGTTTTTTTTAATTTTATTTTTTTTGTCCCTAGCTGCAACATGCATTTTTATAATTCATAATATACATTATTCTAAAGCATAATATACATTATATTATCCCAGATGTTTTATTATTCTAACACGAAATATACATTATTCTAACACGTAATATACATTATTCTAACACATAATGTACATTATTTTCACTCATAATATTCACGACGATATTTTTGCCGTGGACCACGGTCCACACAATAATTTGCAATGCCAATTGTTATATCATAGGCCATAGTTCATATTGCATTATGAATCCTAATATAAAAATTTTGTACCTTCAGTTAATACATTTTGTACCTACAGTTATTAGTTTCTGTACATGTAAACAAATAACTTGATAAATTAAAATATACTAATACTAACTGGGACAACCCCAACCAAGTTAGGTCCACTACAAGAAAAATGCACATAGATAACGGTTAATAACCGTTGTCGTAGGGGTATAATTTCTGTTGTTGAAGCCGGTGTTGTTGTAAGTCCCGCGCATAGACAACGGTTTTTTAACCGTTGTCTTTTCTAGAAACGACAACGGTTTTTTAACCGTTGTCTATTAAGTGTTGTTGAAACCGGTGTTGTTAAAAGTCACGCACATAGACAATGGTTTTAAATCGTTGTCTTTTCTAGAAACGACAACGGTTTTTTAACCGTTGTCTATTTACTGTTGTCGAAACCGGTGTCGTTAAAAGTCACGCACATAGACGACGATTTTAAACCGTTGTCTTTTCTAGAAACGACAACGGTTTTTAACCGTTGTCTATTTATTGTTGTTGAAACCGGTGTTGTTAAAAATCACGAATATAGACAACGGTTTTTAACCGTTGTCTTTTATAGAAAAGACAACGGTTTTTTAACCGTTGTCTATTGTGTGTTGTTAAAACCGGTGTTGTTAAAAGTCATGCACATAGACAACGGATTTTAACCGTTGTCTTTTCTCTAAAACACAATGATTTTTAACCGTTGTCTTTTCTTTGAAAGACAACAGTTATAAACTGTTGTCTATTGTGTGTTGTTGAAACCGCTGTTGTTAAAAGTCACGCTCATAAACTGTTGCCTTTTGTAGAAAAGACAACAGTTTTAAACTATTGTCTGTTGTAAAATAGACAACGGTTTTTAACCGTTGTCTCAACGGTTTTAACTGTTTTTAACCTGCTTAAATTTTAATAATATACAAAATTAATTTATCCATTCACCATCACCAAGTGTATTTACATAATTTTGCACAAGTTAAGATTCAAAATACAAAAGAACTAATAAACAAGTCTAAATACTTTCATGACCAATTCAAATCGAATCACCATCCAAGTCATAATACTACAAAAAACATTTCCACGAACTAAGTCTAAATGACCACAACGTTCGAATCATCAAATCATACCTACTCTATATGACTTGATACAACATCGGCTCATTCTGAACGCACCCGATCAATAACCGTTTTGTCATAATCAACTTGTTGGAACTACATGTAAAAAGTGAGTAAATAAATTAGTTAGTACGTAGTCAACATAACATTATAAGAGATAGCTAGCTTAGATGGTTGAGATTCATTTGGTACCCCTGCACATAGCAGAATGATAAAGCCAAGCATTATATTTTAAGCAAAAGCAGTACTCCATAATAAACATGCATAACCATGCCATTGGAATTACCTTCTCCTTCACAAATCGTGGAAAAGCAATCGAAGCCAGATTGCAGACATCAGTTTCATCTGGACTTGTGTACTCAATAATCTCAGTACACAAGTTAGAAGATTTAATAGTACCAAGATTCTGTTGGTTGCTTTTTCTATTGCAAGAATCCTACAATAATGAAGGAAAAAAAATTAAGGATAACTGAAGCAATACCACAAATGAACACTCATAGCACATACAACTCACTTTATATAGCATGTAAGGAGTCCCTGTTTCTATCTGGGACTTCAAAATTTCAAACCACAAATTTTGTGCATGTACAACTTTCTTGGCCTTGCCCCGAGTAAAAGAGAAAACTGATAAGAATCAAGTACCAAGAAGAAACTATCCAGTGTGCGGTGTACTTGAACAATGCAACAGTACCTTTGTTTCATATTGCGTATAGAGTTTGCTGAATTCTTCACCCCAGCAATCTGCCAATCTAGGGGACTCATTTGGACAAAACAATGACCATTGCCCATTTCTTTGTACTCTCTCCATAAATAAATCAGGTACCCAGAGAATATAGAAAAGATCCCGGGCTCGATGCTCTTCCTGAAAATGGCATATCACCTTATATCATCAATTATTGAGTAACCAAAAGCTTTTACAAGGAGTCAACAGTGTTGTGCAGGATAATCATAATATAGGTCAAACCATAATATTTCATGTCCAACTAACTACTATACATGCAAGAACATTATGAATCCAACAATACCTTTCCATGGTTTTTTCTTAAATCCAGAAACTCAAAGATATCTGCATGCCATGGCTCAAGATAAACAGCAAAAGCACCTGTATGGAGCAAAGAGCAGCATGAGAAAAAGCAATATAAGGTACTACCACAGCTCAAATCTGTGAAATAGAACAGAACATGATCACATGCCTTTTCTTTTGCCACCCCCCTGGTCAACATATCGTGCAGTATCATTGAACACACGTACCATAGGAACAATTCCATTGGATGCCCCATTTGTTCCACGAATATAACTCCCAGTAGCACGAATATTGTGCACAGAAATACCAATTCCTCCTGCTGATTTGCTAATTACAGCACACTCCTTGAGAGTATCATATATGCCATCAATGCTATCCTCTTTCATGCAGATAAGAAAGCAGCTACTTAACTGTAAGCAAAACAAGAGAACAATGTGATGGTTAATAAATATTCCATTAATATAACTACAAAGAATAACATGTGTGATCATCATTAATAAAAAAAAAAAAAAAACACAATAGCAGTGTAATACAAAAGCAAAGAAATAGTGGTTGTAACATAGCAAAATGACTAGTCAACCTACTTGAGGTCTTGGAGTTCCACCATTAAAAAGAGTTGGGGATGCATGTGTGAACCATCTTTGAGACATTAAATGGTACGTCTTGATGGCAGATTCAATATCATCCCTGTGGATCCCAACAGCAACTCTCATCAACTGGAAGCCCATCTAAAGAAGAGTGTGCCAAATGGAGTGGTAAACAATTCGGCAAAAAAGCCATTCCGGACTCATGTAAATGGAACCAAACTCACAAATGGATCCTTTGAACCTGGCATATACCGCAATGGTAAAGGAATACGTGCCTGACCTTTTTCTGGCTGAATGCCTCTGGTCTTGAGATTGAGTCTTCCATTTGTCAGTTTTGCGGCCATCTTTTTCGTACCACCTATTTTATGTATTAGGCATATTATGACTAGAGTGATATAGGTTTACAGCGTATCATTTAACCCAATCAAAAGGTAGAGCAGGTTGATACAAGCATCCAATAGTCGCCATTCTTCAGTCCCCTCTGCTGGTTGCTGCAATGGGTGGCAATTTCTTGTGATTGAGATTATTTCTGCTTTTTTATTTCTAAGAGATGAAAGAATAGAGTTGAGGTAGACTTACATGGCCATATTCCCATCTAGCAGTTAGTGGAAGTGAAACAAGGATGCTCTCTATCCGACCACCTGTCTTCAGTCCAAATGTAGTTCCACGATCGTAGACCTTCAATTCAAAGTAGAACACTTAATGTTAGAAAATGCTCAAATGCTTGTAAAAATTGAACTTGAAGAAACTGGAGCTGAATTTCATACCAAGTTGAATTCCACATAGCGTCCCCTACGTACTTGTTGCCATTCCTTGTGACTGGCTGTGAATGGCGTATCCTTTCTCTTCTCTATAATGGGTATATATGCAGGAATAACAGAATTTGCACACTCTGCAATCCAAAAATGCACAATTAAGTCATTTAGGCAGAAATAGACATCGAATACTTTTGACAATTGTAGGGATGTCAACAGCACTGCAAATTCTTTCTGGAGGTTTGAGGCACTATGGAGATTTACAGTGAGACATTGTAAGATGCTGACTATAGCAGTATTATACTGATGGTTTTTTTGAAGAGGATCCTAAAGGAAAAACTCACACTCTCTCACATTTCTTATGCATAACCAAACATGGACATTATATACATACATGGACATTTACACATACTACACTTCTTGGACTTCAACGAACGACTTCTAAGGAGATTACTCAATATGCCACTACTAATTGAGTGCAGAGTTATCTCTGATGCTGCAGATGATTAATAGCATTCTGGGTAGGTCCATAATCAATTAACTAATTGTATCTACAAATCAACATAATATCTCCAGCAAGATCCATTTCAAGGGAATCCAGACTAGAATTGAAATCAACCCAGACATAAAAAAAAATAAAAATTAAGCAATTAGAAGTTTAATCCTTCATAGCAGAAAATTTCTAAATTAAGCAACCTTCGTCGACGGGAGAGGAGGCGAGGCTTGGAGCAGCTTCGTCCATTCTTCGCTTGGAACAGGCGAGGCTTGGAGGCGGCAGAGCATGCAGCTGGCAGCAACTCTCTCGTCTCTAGTCTTCGATCTTCAGCGACGAGCGAAAAAATTGGCGACCGAATGCCACCGGAAGATTATAGAACCAACGAGGATGGGGACTAGATCTAGATCTGATTTTGAGAGAAGAGAAGACATGAGAATGAGAGTGTGAGAAAAGAATGACACTGACCGGAGGAAAGGTTGAGAGCGGGATGACTTGTCTGAGAGAATGTTCTGAGCAAATGAGAGGGAAATAGAGCGGGAAGACCAAATTTTTGTCTGAAAGAGGGAATAGAATTAGTTAACTTGTACATGATTTGCGAGAGATTGAGAGACAGGGAGAGGCAGAGAGGGTTGTTAGGGTTCACGACTCTTTGAGGCTTTGAGCGATTGAGAGACAGAGGGTTTACTGGTTTAGGCCCTTTTGTATAATTATAATTATAACTAGTATTTTTGTTATAATATATATTAAAGTGGGGTGTATTCAATCATGACTTTCATAGAGTTTTAAATACTTTTATGAACTTTAAAAGTTTAGAGATATTCAATTCAAATTTTTAGAGAGTCTTTAAAAGTTAGGCGGTATTCAATCAAGATTTTTAAAGAATTTTTAAAAATCGTATAGTATTCGATTAGGACTTTTAAAGAGTCTTTAAAACTCGTGTGGTATTCAAAAAGTTATGAACTTTTGTAAACTTTTTAATTTTAAGACTTTTGTAGACTTTTCTTTCTCAAATATAAATAGTTGAAATTCAACCATCAATCCCAAGATTTCAAAATTTTCTTTCTAACAACTTTGAACGTTCTCTCTCTATTTAAACTCTATTTTTTCTCCCTACAAAGTTTATGAACCTATCTAAATTCAATAAAATAATTTTTTTTCTTCATTATCCTATATTTTCCTCATATCTAAACTCTACTAATTTTTCTCTCTCTCCTAAACTTTACCATCTTCATTTAAAAATTCAAAATAATATTATTTTTACTTCATTATTGCTTTTTTTTTTTTTTTGTTAAACATTATTGCTTGTTTATATTGATTTTTATTTTTTCTATGAATTTTTTATCCCTAACTTTCTCTAATTCTCCCTAAATACATGAACAAAGCAAATTTTTCATCATCAAATTTTAGTATATGTTTCATAATATTCATATAAATACTTATATATTTTGATTTTTATTCTTTTTATGTTTATATTCGTAATATATATTTTTCATTTTTTTAACAACAGGTTACTACGAATAGCGAACTACTATTCGCAACAACAATTTGGGGTTGCAAACAGTAGCACCTTGTTGTTGTTCGCAGTCTCAAATTGCTATTGCAAATAATAGTACTTTGTATGATGCCTAGCAATATATCAAGTATAATTTATATACATATTATTAATATTAGATTTTTATTTTTTTATTTTATGCAAGTAATTATATTTTTAAATATTTTATTTGATCAATTCTTTTATTATAAATTTTATTGTTTAATATTGTTATGAATTTCTAATGAAATGATTTTTTTTGTTGATGTTTATTAATATATATATATATATATATATATATATATATATATATATATAAATAAAGTAATTAGCATTTTTTTTGAAGAATAAGTAATTAGCATAGAAATCTCAGCATACTATGGATAAAAATAATAATGTTGAGAATGTTGATGTGGGTGAAGAACTATATAATAGAAGAATTTTATGATATATTATAAATGTTTTGTAAGAAAATTATAAATGATAAGAATCAAAATCATTGGAAGTTTTTAAGGATGTATTCAATTTAGAATTTCAATGACTTTTGTAGACTTTTTAAAATAAAAAGTTGATAAAAGTCTATAAATATTTTTTATATTAACTTCTATAGAGTCTTTAAAGTTTTAAAAAGTTTTGAACGACCTCTATGAAAGTCAATCAAAGTTTATTAAAATCTATAATTTTAAAAGTCTTTAAAACTCTATAAAAATCATGATTGAATACACCCCTAAGAATATTTAAATTGATATATAATTATTTAAATTAGAATATCAAATATTATATTGTACAGTGCAATTGAAAATATGATTTGGATTGTTTATATGTTTTGATGTTACCATTGCTTGAATTTGAGCAAATAATTGCTCAAATTAATAGCTAATGTGTAGATGTACGCATGCAGTGCTGTAACTTTGAAGATTTTATTTATCATTGTTTAGTATTTTTATAAATTAGGCAAACATGCTCATTCTTTAGCAACTTAGTTATAGGAATGAATTGCTATCCTAATTCATTTGTATGGAAAATATATTTTTGTCTAGATATATAGCAATTTTGTCATTTAAAAGAACATAATATCACCGATTGTATTTACACATTATTGAAACCTCATTGTATACGACATTGGTAGTAGCAACACAATCTTGTCAATCCTCGTCTATAGTTAACATCTTCAGTCCATTACGATGGGTGACTCGGGTGAAAATATATAATCGTAGAATATCAGTCAATTAGTGATCCTATTATATTTTCAGTCAATTAGTAATATCATATTCATTTTCAGCCAATTGTCATTTTTTATTTTATGTCAATTAGAATATCAGATGTAGTGATATTTTTACCTAATTTTCGTTCTATTTTTAATTAATGATGTAGAATATTATTATTGAAATATTTCCATTCCATTTTTAATTTACCTTTACTATTGTTTAAAATATGCATTTACTATTAATGATGTAGAATATTATTATTGAAATATTTCCGTCCAATTTTTAATTAAAATGCAATGATCTGACAATTTTTGTTCACTTTAGTCAATTATGAATCATTTTTTATTTGTAGTCAATCCTTTTATATTTCCAGTCAATTAATAATATCATATTCATTTCCAATCAATTATTTTTTCTTTTTCAGTCAATGAGTCAATTAGAAATCAGATGCAATGATATTTTTACATAATTTTCATTCCATTTTTAACTGATGATGTAGAATATTATTATTAAAATATTTTTGTTCTATTTTTAATTTACCTTTACTATTGTTTAAAATATGTCTTTATTATTGATGATGTACAATATTCTTATTGAAATATTTTGTTTTCATTTTAAATTTACCTTTACTTGATGATGTAGAATATTATTATTGAATTATTTTCGTTCTATTTTTAATTTCTGTTTCATTGTTTAAATTTGTGAAATATTTATGATATAATTGTGATTTGATTTATTCTAGAGTGTAATATTATAGTGAAAAATTAAAAAGTAATAATCTGACCATTTCCTTTTCCATTTTAGTAAGTATGGATCATTTTTTTCAGCCAATTATTAATATTTTTTTTTCAATTAACCTAATTTCCATTTTATTTTTAATTTTTAATTTTGAGTCAATTATTAATATTCATTTCATTTTCCCATTTACCTAATTTTTGTTCAATTTTTATTTGATAATGTAGAATATTATTGTGAAATATTCATGTTCCTTTTTAATTTTAATTTTTTTTTTGTTAATTTACCTTTACTATTTACTATTGTTTGTGTTGAAAATCAGGTAAATAGGATTTTATTTCTAATTATAGTATAGATTATAAATTAAGAGGGCTGGTCACGATTATAATTTTTATTATATTACGAATTAAAATTAGGATTTTTATCATACTTAAACAATAATATTACTAATTATATTATAAAAAATAATACCATACATAATATTACCAATTAATATATTTTAGTTAACTTTCATTTTACATTTTCTTACCAGATAAGCCTTATTAATTATTTGACCAATAAAATATTTAATTAATTGACTACAAAAGTTTAGACAGGAAAAATTAAATATGAGGATTTTGCTTATATATAATTATATGGAAATTTCTATAAAATAATTTCATTAATTATACACACACACACACACACACTTCTAGTTCTATATTTGATAAGCATAATTTGTGTATGTATATACTTTAGGAAAATACTCATTATTAAAAATGGAATATAATTTAAAAAGTCAATTATTAATGCAACTTGTAATAATATAATTGTCCCACTAATTGATTCCATGCTACTATAATTCATAAATTTAAAGATATTTAAAGTTAAATATATATTAACTGCCTTAATAATTAAGTTAATTATTAGTTACAGTACTAAAAGTATTACTTTTAATTTTTATAAATAAGATATAATAAACATATTATTAAATCAAAATAATAAAAAATAATTTGTTCACAGTACAAAATTTTTTATAATTGACATAATAATTAACTATTAATTTTTATTGCCTAATACAAATTGTCAATTATTAAATATTATTTATGGTAATTATTGTATGTCATGTAATACTAAAGTTGTTAGGTAGAATTTTTGTAATTAAGGTATAATATTATTAAATTGAAATTATTATAAATATATAGATTCACATTAAGAAAAATCTTATTAATTTTGGATATTAAAACTATATATTTAAAGTCATATATTTAGATTAAAGTTGAAGTTATAAATAATTAAGTTTCAATAAGTTCATTTATTCATAAGTTATATATGGTTAATAATGAATATTTTTCTATATTAGATTATGCTTATATAAGGTTTATCCGTATTAACCATCATTATATTAGATATTAATCTTTTAATATAATATATTATTAACTCTAAACATATAGTTAATATTTATTCAATATTATTATTATGGAAGTAATACAATTATAAATTTTATTATATTTTAAATGACTTAGCATATCGAAGCAAACATGGTAAGTCAATAACATCATTTCACATTAGAAAAGTGATTTGAATCAAGAGAAGTCAGCAAAAGAATAAAATCAAAATAATACTCTATTCAAACTAAGCTACAGTACTTCATAATTCTTTTGTCCCCAAAACAAAAGTTTTAATGGCAAGAAAAACCTCTTGAAGGGAGAGACAAACTACTCTCTTATTACAGAAAATGCACACTTTAAAGACGAAGAGATTGAATCGAAACAAAGCTCAACTGATATATT